TGTTTTGTACAACCTTTTACTTGCCTTTTTTTTTTTAAATCTGTAATTCAATTTCATATTAAAAGACATTCCTCAGTATACACTTAAGTTCTGCTGATCTCAAACTACACAAAATATTTTTGTTTAAAGATACAGCAAGTCCTTGACTCATAAAATACTGCCTGGATCAAGAAATGGGGTAAGGTCTTACCTGTAGTATCTTTAACCCTGTGGAGATGCATGTAGTGAGTTACAGAATGAAAACATATGAGCTCCAAATTCTATAGTCCTACAGAATTATGTAGACCAAGAAGAGATTATTATTTGCCCCTCCCATTTGCTCTTCTCTTACAGTTAAGTGAAAGTCATGCTTGTATCAAGTGTTACTTGTTTCCTGAGCAACTTATTGAACTAATTTTCTGTACAATACTGAGAAATTAATATTTTTTAAGGGCCAAGAGCAATATAACTGGAAAGTCTTACAAAGTTTGCTTTATTGTCTGTCAATACATTTACCGGTCTGGATTCTTTTAGATACACAGTGGTTGAAGCTGATGTGAATCCCAGAAAATTAGGGCTATGAAAAAGTGAATTCCATTGCCCATGAAAAGCAGAATCAAGACACTTGCATGAATATTTTTTTCTGTGTTTGTGATGTAACAGGTATCTTTATGCTGACATGCTGATTACTAATGGGATGGTGTATGGTGACACACTAGATCTGAAAACCTACAGTGAAAGTCAAGAGACCAAGATAAAGTGTATTGAAACCTTGTTCAGGAAATGTCTACAACAGTTGACTATATTGTGTTGTCTTTCACATGAATTTATAGCTTTAAAGGGTTTGGAAATTGAAATCATCAAAATAGTTTATTGTAAAAATCCTTCTATTAATTCAATAATTAAATGTTATCTGATACATAGAAACAAGTTTCACCTGCATATTTCTGATACTGCTGCATCTTATCCAAATGCTAAAAAATTCAGGAACCGTCACTTTGACAACACAACAGCCTGTTCAGGTGCAATGAAAAGAATTTTTTTTTTTTTGAAGTGGGATTTTGCACTTGTTAGTCACACCATTTTTGATACAGGGCTACAGTTCTTGGGCTACCATCTCTTCTGTCCCTACCGACTTGAGTGACTGGATCTCTTGAGAACCTATCGTGAAACTCTTACTCCATCTGAGAGTTTATTTTGCATAACGAACACATTTACAGCAACCCATTTGAAAACCTTTTAGACTTCTTAGTATATGGACTAGGATATTACTTGTGGTGACAGGAAAATAATCTGTAGACAAGGGTTCACAAGATGAGTAAGTATGATGTTACTTTATTGCCCATTTATTGCACAGTATCACATGCAGCTCAGCAAGGGCTGTGCGCCATTATTTAAGAATATTTCACTTCTGAGGGGTATTTTTTTCTATCTTGAAAACTAAGAATCAAAATACTTTGCAACTGTCATTTAAAATAGGACCATCTTTGCTGGTTTCTCCTTGAGATTATGGTACTTGTAGTCTAATTGAGATATTTTTAGAACCAGAAGCACCCAGCTGGGAACCAGGTTGTTTGCCCATTGTAAGACACCCAAAATCTTAGCAATCCTTAAACATGTCACATGAACAGTTCTGCATTTTGCCAATACTGGTGTTCACACCAGTTATTTCCTCCACTTTTCAATCAAACACACAGACACAAGTGAGAACAAGAGGGAAACAATTTATTTGACAAGTTGCTTAAAATAAATGGGAAATTTTGAAGGTGATAAGAAATTTTAACAAGCAGAGATAGACCACAACCCCATAGTCAGAGAAAAAGTGGTATTATCAATAGTGTATAGCAAAGCATGAACACATTTGTAAAAGGAAGTGTTGTATGACTTTGCACACTGTCAATATATAATGATGAAACCCCTAGCCCATAGGCTTGTCTGGGCACACAGAGCCTGCAGTGTTGCTAAGACAATGTTACTGCTATAGACACATCTAGATAGTGGTGTATTTACAGCTAGCAAAAATAATGAGTTATGCAGATCAACCCAAACTTGGCTCAATGGAACCTTTTAACTTCCAAAACCCAAGGATATACATTAATTTTCCACACATAATGCACCACGACATCCACATATATTGAATTTGTTAGATATGTTCAATTGGTTTTTGCTAGGATAGCCAGACAGAATAGGTTTCACTACACATGGCACAGGGGTACTCTGGGCCTGGAACAAGTCTTCTCTGACTACCAGTGCACACACCAGATCAGAGATATTTTGGCATTGCTTGAATGCTTCTTAATATGAAAATCAAAAATATTGCCATTCCAGCACCAAATATTACCAGCCTTCAGCATCGGGCTCACATTGATATCTGGTCATATTCAGGTGTGGCAAATGACACATTTCTGTGGTGTTAATGGCAATTAATAGCAGACACTCAGAAACAGCTCAGGAGTGTCAGATGTGCCACCAAGTTAGCACTTGCAGGTGAATTTCACAGTGCAGGATTAAAGTGTTTTATCTTGAGACCTCCTGGTCTTATCATATGATTGCAGAAAGAGGAGAAAAAAAAGTGTCTATTATACATCTAAAGCCAAATGATTCACTGCACGGCATATCCACCATCTTCCTTTCAGGGCTATACTTCAAGAGGTTTGGCAGTGAAACAGCCTGGCTGTGTGAGAACAGAAACCTCCGCTGGTGAGCAGGGAGAGTGGCTCTGTAAAATCAGCCACGGAAAGAAAAGATGAAAAATGGGGTGGGGGCCGTGGGTGTTTTGATTTTAAAAATGCTTAAACGTTCTTTAACTTAGTTGTTTGGGTTCTTTTCTATTGAATACATACATGAGAAAATTTACATGAGAAATTTATCATCCACACAGTCTTGTCTGTTTCAGCAGGAAAAGTGTGTTTTCCCACTCTGTGCAATTCCAATTCTTACAACTGGGAAAAGGTAATGAAAACGCCTTGACGAATTGCCCCCAGCCCCCTAAAGGATAGCTGTTTTGTTTCTGGGCGGAAAACCCGAGCAGCTACTTACTTGAGCCGAAAGGCACAGCGTGGCGGTGTGAGGCACTGGCAGTGCGGGAGAGGGGCACGGTTTGTTCCCCCGGAGCGGTGCCGGGTGCCGGGGGCCGGCTGGCGGGACGGGACGGGACGGGACGGGGGAGGCCGGGGGCCGCCCTGGCCCCGCTCCAGCGGCAGGTGCATGCTGCGGGGCTTCCCCGCTCCGGCCGAGGTAGCTGTCGGTCTCTGTTAAATGGCTGCCTGCTTTTCGGGGCTGCCGACTGCTTCACGGTTTGGCTGTTTTTTTTTTTTTTTTTTTTTTTTTTTTTGCAGCTCTGCCCCCTCCACCCCTCCGCTTCCCTAGGTGAGGCTTCATCCCACTGCCTCGCCGTCCGCCCCCCCCTCAGCCCTTCCTCCCCGAGCCCTTCCCGGGGAGCCGCCGCCGCCTCTTCCCTCCGAGCATCCCCCCGGCCCCGCACCCCTCCTGGCTCTCCTGCTCCCGGGCCAGGGTGCGCCTGGATGTGGGCTGGGGCCGGGCCGGCCCGGCCGTGCGAGGCGAATCGCGGCTTTCCCGGGGAGCGGGAGGCGGTGGCCCTGGCGGGGGCGGCGGGGCAGGGCAGGGCAGGAGCTCCGGAGCGCCTCAGCCCGCGCCGGGCACCGCGCCGTGCCGGGGAGCGAGCGGCTCTCCAGCCCGCCTCGATCTCCGTGCAACACCTTCACCCTTGTCCCTCCCCCCACCACCCGCCGGGGTTTTTTTTTATTTTTTCCTTTTTCTTTTTTTTTTTTTTTTTTTTTCCGCTCCTCCACTCTCCTACAGCGAGTTAAATATTTCTTTTGTTAATTGACGCCCAAAGTGTTCCCAATCCCTTCCCCGCGTCGCCCGGGCCGACCGAGGACGTGTGCACGCCCAGATCCGCTCGGTGAAGCAGCACAGATCCGCGGGGCCGAGCGGGTATGTGCGTGAGGAGGAGGAGGAGGTGGTGTAAAAGGAGCGACGGGCACCAAGCAGATTTGAGAGGAATAATTTAACTCCGGTGTTTGTTGTTTTTCATGGGTTTGTTTTTTGCCTTCTCTCTCTCCTATCTATCTCGTTTTCTGCTCAGGATTTAAATGTCACTCAAAGCATCCCCAGATCAGCTTTCCGCTCGTCGCCGGTTTCTTCCGAGGCATTAATTGGATCACGCGCTGCATTTGAAGAGCCTGGGTGTTTTACCCGCTAAGGTAAGTGGGTTTATGCACCTACGTGGGGTCTGGATGGTCACTGAAATCCTTTCAGGGTGGTGTTTTTCTTCCCCTTAGCCCCCTCCCCCAGCTCCGTGGCCAGGTTCCGTTCTACCTGAAGAACTCGCATCCCTGGGTTAAACATCGGTCGATGTAGGGAAAACGCGCCGGGGGGCAGCGGGGTCGCGGGTGCCCCTCAGGCACCAGCCAGTGACCAGCGGGAGCCGGCGGTCGCAGCCAGCGACCCCCTCAGCTCCCGGAGCCTGTGCTCCGGGAATAGCGCCTGGCATCACAGTAAGGAAAGAAACAGCCTAATCCCCTCTTACAAGAAACTATTCGTCATCATTTTTTTTTCCTCCGTGAGAAATATTGTAGGCGCTCATCTCCCTCCTCCCCCACCGCCCGCCCCCGTTGCCAGCGCCGGCTCCTTTGCCCGCACCTCTCCTCGCTTCAGGCGGTTCTTTCCAGGGACTAAAAAGTTAAGCTGCCCCCTCTCTCCCCCCACCTGCCCCCATACGTACGCAGTGCATTCGCCTTTTTAACTATTCTCCCTGTGCCTAATCCGAGTCCGTACAGCCCCCCCAACGCTTTTAAACTAGGTTGCAAAGCCGCTGTACCCTGCAACTCCTAAAACTTCTCTTCTGACTGTGATTTATATTCTATAATAACAAAAAGGACAACAAAAATATACTGGATCCTCCTTCTTTTTCTTTTTTTTTTTCTTTCTTTTCTTTTTTTTTTTTTTTTTTTTTTTTAAATAATGCATTTCCTTCTTCCCCTTTAATTTTTTTTTCAAGGAAATTTGCTCCATCTCCAGCAGCAACCACTGCTCCTTTTGATGTTGTGGTACGCCGTGCGCATGCGCTTCACATTAGAATTACTGCACTGGCCAGAATAAGTTGGATCTCTTCTTCTCTTCACTGAAACCCTAAATCATATCAAAAGCTAAAGGGATGCTGAGAGTCCGGAAAAAGGGTTACTTTGGGATTTGGTCATTCCCTTTAATAATAGCTGCGGTGTGTGCACAGAGGTAAGTCATTAAGGCATCGCTTTTCCTTTACTTTGAATTGCAGTGCATGCTGCTGCTGAGAGAAATGTACAGCTGGGGGCTGAGAAATCAGAAATAATACAGTATTATTCTTTCTTTTTTCTTTAGTGTCAATGACCCTAGTAATATGTCACTGGTGAAAGAGACCGTGGATAGACTGCTGAAGGGCTATGATATTCGCTTGAGGCCAGATTTTGGAGGTAATTTGACTGCTTTTGCATAAGAGAGGTTGCATATCCGGGCTGGGTGCGTTGTGTATGGGGGCGGTTTCAAACGTCTTGTGGGTGCTGTTGCTTTGGGGGGTGTGTGTGTTGCCATTTCCTGTAGCTGATCCAAAGTTAAGCCCATTGTTTCTCAATTTTCTTAGCAAAGGATGCTCTTAATGCCATCACTTAAATCACTTGTATATTCGTAATCGGTCCCTCATTGTGTGTGTGTGTGTGATATGATACTTTACCAACCTGTAATTAAACCCTTGTTTAACTGGCTTTATCGAGACGCAAACCTCTCTTAAGTTCACCCAACGTTTGTTCCTTTCAGCCTAATGTGCCTGTGATCACAGTTACTATTTTCGAGTACAAGACGTGCCGTTAACTGATACAAAAATGTCATTAACCCCCTGCGTGCTCCTACTTCGAACTAGTTTGTTTATTTCGGACGTGCTCTCTGTGGGTGGCCCTTTCCCCCCGCATCCCTCTCCCGGGGCTGGGTGCTGCCATTCCCGGGGCGCGGGGCTGAGCGTGCCGCGGAGGGGCGCGGAGCGGGCGCGCCGGTGCCGCACGTGTGCGCTGTTACATAAAGCACCGCCACGGCCCGGGCAGCGTGCGGCCCCGCTCCGGACCCCGCTGTGGGGGAAAGACGGGGGGAGCGCTTCATGCCTCCCTCCTGACTTTCTGGTTGTGTTCAAACGCCGTTTCATGTTCGCCCTGCTAACTCTGGTAAGAACGAGTTAAGTTCTTCGAGATCACATTGCGGACCATCTTGTTGGTTTGCAGGTCCCCCAGTGGCTGTGGGCATGAACATAGACATTGCCAGTATAGATATGGTCTCGGAAGTCAATATGGTGAGTACTTCGGGTTCGGGGCCGCTTGCTCTCTGAGGGGGTGGCTGCCGCTCCCCCCGCCCCTGCCAAGGCGGAGCGGTGCCCGCGGGCGTGCGGGGACCCGGCGTGGCCTCGTGCCCCGGGGAGGCGCCGGGGCGGGGCACACCGGCTGTGGGGGGTCGGGGGCGGCCTTCCCCGGCTGCCGGCGGCGGCTCCCGGGCGGGGAGCGGCGGTTCGAGCGGGGCTGCGCGGGGCCGCTCCTGCGGCAGCTCCGGGGGCGCGCCCGCCCTCAGCGCCTTCCAGCGAGCAACGGCGCCCCCTGCCGGCCGCGCGCGCGCACCGCACCCGCGCCCCGCGCAGCCGCCGCGCCTCGGCTTCAGCCCCCGGCCGTGCCCTTCGTGCGTGCCTTGCTGAAAAACAACAGCCAGCAGGGCTTCCCGTGCCTCTTAGCCGGGCACTTCCCAGTAAAAACAAAAAGAGAGGGGTTTGCTTATGTGTGTGTTCAAAACTTACCTGTTTTTTTTTTTTTTTTCCCCTAGCCTGACATTTTTTTTTGGGTGGTGATGAAAGAGTCAATGATATTAGAAGTTTAATTTTTCTGAGGTGTTTGTCTCTCTTATTTAGAACTGACTGTCCTCATATACTGAACTTGTTCAGAATGTAGTAATTTGACGTGTTTCTTTCTGTGTTTCACTTACATCCCCTGAGAGATTAATGAGGTGTGGAGAAAATTGGACAAGTCTGATTCATACTTTAGAAAGAGCTGTTCTTGACTTAGATGAAACTTTACTAGCATTCAGTTTTATTATTTGGAAGTGTTTGGGGTCCAGTTTTAAACTTTTTATCTTAATTTGCATGTTAATTGGTTAAGCACATGGAATTTGGCCTAACACTCATAGGGGCTTATAAAGAATAACAAAAGAGTAAAACATAGTAGCACGTGATACAAAAGTGATGCAAAATAAATGTGATTTTGTCAAGTATTCTTGAAGAGGTTTCAAGTGACCATCTTTTTAAATACAAATGTGATTTTAGGGCTATTGCTGTAGCTGTAACCATGCATTTGAAAATAACACTTGGAAAGTTATCAGTTGTTTTAAGATCATTGTACTACTAAAATATTTAATTCCTCCGTGTCATGTTTGGGTTCTCAGAGATGTTGCACTGGATGATTTGGAAAACATTTGTTCTCAAACTGAATGACTTATCTGATGTACCGGAGTTTTTTTCAGAATGTAAAATAAAGCCCTTGGCCTAATTCGAGGATAACGTTACAGGTTATTTTACTGTGGGACAGGGAGGTGTTGGTGACCATGTGCTTGATGTTGCTCTTTTTCAAGATACCAGTGAACCTGAATAATTTCACCTTCTGAAACATTATTCTGGGAAATTTCTAAGTGGCTCAAAGAGGCTCCCAAACTTTGTATCACTAAACTTGTTATCTAGTGTTCTACCTCCGGGAGCTTTAAGTGCCGAGGAAGAAAAGTACACTGTATTTTAGACCACTTGTTTTTCATTAAGAGAACTGTGGGTAGGGGAAACAGGGACATAGTTATTTCTTAGCTAGCCCTGAGCAGTGAGGGAAGGATGAGGGTTTCTTGTTGGGGCTGCAGTCTACCACGTCAGTGTTATATCCTCCCATCCCTTCAGAACTGGAAAGTTCATGTGAAAAAATTTTTAAAAATCTTATGATTTTTTTCTTTGCTTCTTTAAATGGTTTCTAGACATTTGGTCTCCAGTTAAAGGTGATAGCATATCAGAATACTGTGATCTGATACTTACAGCCTAACTATATAAAGCAGTATTATTTTTAGTATTCTGTAGTGAGTTTATTGTGTTTCTATAATGAAATATTTGACCTTTCTGAAAAAAAGTCTTTTCAGACTATCTGCAGATCTCAGAGGAGGAACTGTATATACAATTTTGTCCTACTAATTTGCCTAAAGCATTTAAGCTCTGGGCTTATTTTACTCTAAGAAGCCACCTATTTCTTAAACCCAGGCAATCATGTTACATAATTTTTTTTTCACTTACAGTTTCATTAGAGATACCAAACCAAGATTACAATCTGCTTAATTGCAAAATGTAACACTTGATTTTACAATGGTCTGTATAACATAGCAAGTCCTAATATACCCTGAATATAACCTGAAATAAGTGAGGAGAGAGACATACAAGGAAACAACAAAATAAGTATGCAAGGCCTTGGGTTTTTTGCTTGCACATTCACCAGAATTTGGAGTAGAAACCAGGAGGAATACCATGGAATGCCATGATGCAAAGCCTTCTGAGATAATAAGAGACACAGAAAGAACCTTTTGGATTTATGGACCTGTTTTGTTCTAAGCATGGCCTTGCTGTAGCTTTGTCTGTAGTCATGGCAAACACTACTGACTTTAGATAAAGGCAGATCATTGCCTGGACTCCTGTACTAACATTATTGGGATCAAACCTATGCCTTGGGAGAAAGGCTAAATAATCATAGTTATTCATCTTGAGATAATTTCTATTAATTTTAATGTTTATTTATTTTAAAATTACATTTCTTTCTCAGTCTTGATATATTGCATCTACCATATAAACCTCTGCCACCCTGCAGGGAGAATGTTTCTGTCACTCTAGTGTAATGAAGTAAATCATGAAGTTTTCACTTTATTGAACGGGATAATTCAGACTTGCTCTTATAGAAAGTAAAAGTATGTTAAGGATATTCAAGAATATTATTGTTGACTTGGAGTTCTTAAAGAGGTGATAAGTACTTGCATCATGAAGAACTCAGATTGTATAAGGCTTTACAGGTGCCTTATAATTATTTCTTTTATGCAACAGAGCTGAAACTGTAAGCTGTTTACCTTGGGCAGTCAGCAACTTGAACTAGAATTTGTCTGAGTTTACAGAAATGGTTTCAAAGTACTGGCACTTGTGAAAACAATTTGTTCTAGCTCTGGGGAATGCATTGAATGAACATGAGAAACTTGTGAGAACTTCAAGTGTTTGTGGTTATCAACAAATATCATGACTATTTTGACTAATTTCTTTGTATTCTGCAAAGAAAAAATCTGCAGCAGGTATTTTATGTGATACAGGAATGATGATGGCTAATTCCACTCAGCAGCAGGTCCTGCAATATTGTTGAGTGTATCCTTTGTTGTAGTTATACTGCAGATTTCCTTGGGGATTCTCTTATTCAGGTAACAATGGAGAACAAAGATGGAGATCTGTGAAGGCTACTTAAATGGTTTTCCTGGGCTAATGAATTTGATATTATGTAAGATTAGCTATGGTGCAGTGAGTCTAATGCAATGTTCACATTTCCACATTTTCCTCTCAGTTAGTTTTTGGAATAGACACCTTGAAAATGTAGCAATGAAGACTATTCTCCATTCTAATTTTCTCCCTTTTTCTCCCAACTATTCCCTCATGAACTCTTTGTAAAAACTGTTACAGGTTCATTAAGAAGTCCAGAAATAAATTTTCTTCCTTAGACACCCCTGAAGATTCTGTGTAATATGTTCTGCATTTGGTCTATCTAGATAAGACATGAGGATTTCTATGGATAACGTTGGTCATGTGTTAGTTTTCAATATCTTGGCTTATTCCCTATTAAATAGGTCAACATTTCCCTCCTTCCCCCCCTCCCCCCCACCTTGGTCTGTGGCTATTCTGGGATTCTAGTACAGAATGTCTTGAAAAGAGAGAGAAATATTCTGTAGCTACAGATTTTACTCAGGAAATATATGCTTGTTGAGGTTGGGTTGTATAATTGTCCTGGGGTGGCTGCATGGTCCAGTGTCACTATTGTCTGGGTTTTTTTTTCTAGATATAAGTATAATTAAATATAACTATTCACACTGTGGGTGATTGTGGTCTGCAGAGAGGAATCTGAAGTGTTTATTTAACTCCCAGTGTTTGCTTGCCCAGTGTGCAGGTTTTGGCACATGGAGTCAGTAGTTTGTGTGCAGTTAGAGATGATATATTGGTTTGTCTTAGTGGGGCCATTGCTGTTGATTGAGAGCATAATCCTTCCATCAAGTGGGAGTTGGAGAAACAAAGGAGCTGTTACCATCTATCAGGGAAAGGTTTATTTCTTAGTGTGTGCCAAGTTTTACATAGCAGAGCCTAATAGCTTCAAAGCTCTAAAAAAAAGCTTTTTATTTTTTCTAATATTATATTTCACTTCTGTATTTCAGTTACGCCCAAGTTGCACAAAACAATAAGTATCATTCTCATAGATCAGAATATTCTCAGAAATGTGCAGGCATAGCTGTAATTTGCTGGTAGACCTCAGATTTTGAGTTGCTCTTGATAATGGAAGCCCACTACTGGCTTACTTAAAATCTCTCCTTTTTCTTGAGGTATTTTCAGCAGGGGACATTAACAAAGCTCAGGGTTTAGATTATGAAATAGATTTAAATAATGAAAACAACAGGAGCTGTGTTGCTGCCTCTCAAATAGCAGCAATTATCTTTATGTGTGTAAAGGGAATAGATGGCCTGTGATATAAAAACAAATGGGGATTAAGTGGTAAGAAAATAGAGTGGAGCTGTTCCAAACCCCAAAACTTCATGGAAAAGTCCTGAGAGAGAAAAATGAAAAGAGGAAAATTTGTCTTATATACACTGGTGCAGAAAGAGATGAGGAAAATGGTCATGGAAATGGTTTCTGTCAGCAATATCTTCTCATTGTAGTCCTTCCTCGTTGTTTATGTTGCTGCATGTATTCTGTAGGAGAAAAAGGAGAGAACAGGGCTGAAAATGCATTAAAAATGAAATATTGGAATATTGAGAAGGTGCTGCTTTGCTAAATACTTCTGCTGCCAGAAACAGTTGGTTTTATTAGTTTCTCTGTGTCATAAATGCATATGTTTCTTCACATAAAACTGCATTTCTCAGCAGACAGTTTGAATTTGGCTCTTGTCAAATTATTGTGCTTATGCATTACTGACTCATACTGAAATGTGTCTACAGAGACTTCTGTGAATGCAGAGCAGGTGATGTACATCTTGGAAGTGAGAACTTTTT